ACTTTTCCTTATTTTTTAACCACACATTCTCCATCAATTTGCTATTCTAAAATGTATTATTAGGAAATAATAGGGCTCAAACAAGCCCACGAAATTTCATTAATTCTAATAGAAGATGATAACTTAGATTATTTAAGGAATATGATAAACAATAAAAACCTTAGTTTATCAAATATATTCGAATAATTTAACTTTTAAAAATAAATAAATTAATTTAAAATTTTGATAACTATATTATTGCTATAGTTGAATGAATGGGGACAATAAAATGAATGAAAAAAAATTAAACGAGAACGTAAACGGGGCAACACCCCCTAATCGCGCCACTCCACCATAACCCCCCCCTCCCCCGCGCCCCAACCCACCTTAAATAGGTAACAGAGCAGGTATGGAACAGGGGATGGGGGAATCCGGACCGGCCCGTTGGCATCCTTATACCAAAAGCATTTATTTAATAAACAACCAAAGAAATGACTGTTCTAAAAAAGAACCAAGAAAACTCTCAAAATCTGAATGAGAGAAGCAAAAACGCCTCAAAATCAGTAAATAAGTTTAAATCAAAATGCAAAGTAAAGAAAAAAAATTCACCACCAAACTCATATATCCATTCAGAAATTCCGCAAGCACATGTGATCATTGACGAGTAATAATATAGTGAGTTAAAGTACTGTCCCACGAGGAATAATGTTTAGTTCTAGTTTACTAGTATTTACCAAATTTGATCTAATGTGACACAAAAGAAATTGATGGTTGGTTTTTGTCCTAAATTTAACTATGAAAACAATAAAAAATGGTTTTTATTGAATACGAGAAGAATGTATTAAATATCCAAATTCTATTGATATTTAGTTTTAATTCTAGATATATGTTAACTAGTATGATTAACGTGTTTGTCAATAATCCAATAATATTCAATATTCTTTTTCAATATATACCGAATATATGTTTAACACGATTCGATCCTTCTCCTAGTCTGAATTCATATGAAAAATATGCATTTAATCATATGATTACTACACACAACCGCATACGGCATAAATATTATTCTTAATATCTATTATCCATGTGCTAAATATATAGTGTTCTACTTATTGTGAGTTTTTCAACACTATAAATGAGCAATATATATGTCACAATGGTGTGCAAACATTAAAACAAATATAATTAATGCATATGAAATCATAAACACAAGAATTAACTAAAAACGAAGAGTCTTGAAATAAAAACTAAAAATTAACAGATTTTGTCATCCATCCAATACATAAAAATATCTAGCCTAACACTGCCAAATGAAAATTACACAAAAGAATAAGAAAATACATCACCTGAGGCTTCGAAACATTGGAAGAGCGTGAAATCTTCAATTATTCGCTTGAAACTCGACTCCGAGCGATGCAATTTCAATCCTTGAATGTAAAAATCTCTCTTTTCTTGCTCTACTATGATAAAAATCGGTCCTCTCTTGTTTCTGGGCATGCTCTTCAATTTATAGGATGTTAAAAAGAGTGCACTAAATTGTTACCAAAATAAAATAAGGAAAATTTGATTTTTTTTCCTGTTTGTGATTATGTCGAGCCTAGTGCAAAATAGGGCACACGCTTGAACCCTTTAGGTAGCCTCAAGCATCTCAGAAGAGGAAGAGGTGCGCGCCTCCTCTACAGGCCTAGGTGCGCGCCTAGGCTTGTCCTGAGCAACTTTCAGTATTTTTGTCATCACTTTGTCTTCCGATTTTTAAATAAGGTGATTTGAAGTATGTTAGAAAGCTAAGTCAAAGAGCCACAATTATTTTAGAATTACTATTTCTCCAATTCGAATGTTTGCTATGCCCAAAATGGATTGCAATCTAGGACTAAAAATCTAGAGCATAACTTTTTTGGCTGAAAATTAATATTTGATAATTCTTTGACTATATTTCATCTTCCTGACTTCTTTTCTCATCTTATTGTCACCAGGCACTCTTGAATCTTCATCGTGAGGTCGATCACAACTTTTGAGTATTTACATTTTAATCTAAGAATTTTGGATCTTTTACAATTGAGCCCGTACTCATTATTTTTCTTCAATTCTTTATCAAATCATGAGTTTTACTTATTAAACATAATGCAAAACAAATTAGGTAATATTTCATCAAAAGAATTACAAAATATCATTATTTAAAATCCCAGATAAATGTATAAAATACACTTATCAATATCCAATAACCAAATCATTAACTCTAATTGTATAACGGCTTTCAATAATGCCATTAACTCAAGGAAGCATCTTTCGACAATAATTGTATTCATGATGCAAAAATAAATTCCAATTTCATCAATTCAACTAAGATAATCCCTATCACAGTAAAATTCAAGGAAGCCAGTATTTACATCCATCATTGTTATAAATATATCCACTTCTAAAAATAATATTATTTTATATTTCTAACCTTACACAAATTTACTTAAATAGACATATATAAAATTGTATAAAAGTATATAACTCTAAACTCATCCAATAATATTTATTTTCATTAAATTCCTTCGGACCTTTTTATATTCTTTTAAAATTTGGCACGGTAAAGCCAGCAATCCATTTGTGAAGAAATTATTCCATTTTCCCAATCTGCAACCCTCTCAAAGGATGCCAGCACTGTCAGAAATGTTACCATGAACTCTCCAAACAAGTCAAGGCCAAACTTGGCAAGGTTGACGATTACTTCAACAAGGTTGCCGATGCATTGGTATCCTGGATCGAAGCTTGGGACAAACTCAACCCGTCGGCTGGAGTCACAAATTTTCATATACCGATCTTCAGGAAAACTTTGTTCACGGTGTGTTCAAGATCAAGAATATAGTGCACATTTGCCACTGCATTAAAAAGTGATAATTGAATTCGGTATATGTTTTTAACCATTTTTGTGAGTTCATATTAATTTTGTTATTTCCTTAAATGTAAAATTATGGGGGATGAATATAATGTTATTTATTTATTTATTTTTAAAATTTTGGAATTGTAAGAGGGATGGGCTAGAGCGTGAAATATATAAAAATAGTGTGAATGTATAGTGTTTAAATAAAAGAATTTAGCAAGGACAATATTGGAATTTGATGTAGATGAAAATAATTTTTTTTTTAATTTTAAAATTTTAATAGGAATAGATATAGAGTGGGATAGTTATATAACAATTATTGATATAAATAGCGAATCCTAAATTCATTTGGATGCAATAACAGTTTGATGTATAAAAGCCAATAAAAAGCCACGGTTTCATTGAAGCTTTACCCCGACCAACAGGTCACTTCTCGCTTATAGCACTAGCTTGATTAGCCTGACACTCAATACCTAATTACACCCAAAATAAAAATAAAAATAAATAAATAAATAAAGGAAATCAAATAAACATGTTTAACCACAAAGAAAAAGGCAAATTCAAAGTAAAACTCACAAAGTTCCATAATATGGTTACTGCAGATTGCACAGTTACCAACCACAATATCTGCATCATGGGTTAGGGCTACGGTTTTTCAAAACCTAAAACCAATACATCACTTCCAACATACATAGGGTTCATACCCTAAGCCCAGAGCACGACGGCATTGCATTTCTTGATCTCGAATCGCTTGGCTTTCTTAGTTGATGTCGACAGAGTAGGATTACCGGAGGAAGGACCGGCGCTAGAGGATCCATTGCCAGTCGGAACCATAGTTGTCGCTGTCTAGAGAAACCATCCTATCAAGGCAAAGCTACGGCACGACTTTTTCAGTATGTGACTTATCTGAGCTAGGGGTGGTAAAATGGTACTTGAAGGCTCAGCCCGAGTCTATGTTCGAGTCAAACTCGTTTTGAGACTAATCATCGACCAAGTCGTGTATAATTTATTTTTCACGAGTAGGTTCATGTGTTACGATTTTCCTGTTTTTTTATTTTTATAGTGATTCAGTCCCAAGGCGCACACTGAAAATTGTGATTGCGGGCTGCCAAGGTCCTAATTTAACCTTTTTTGTATAAATACTACAAAACGTTTTAATTTTATGGATTTTTTTATTTTTTATTTTTGCTCAAAATGTTTCTATCCTTGTAATTTTGCACATTACCCTCAGATCAAATAAACATTAAGCAAATAGTCCATACCATCCATTTACTCTATTCAAAAAACTATCAAATGATGAATTTCTCCTTCTCTTTAAATAATTTTAAAAAATGGTGAAAAGTAAAATAAAAAAATAATTGCAATCACAATCGCATATTTTTCAAAAAGTGCAAATAAGTTCCAATTAAAACCATTAAAAAATTTAGGAAAGAAAAATATTTCTTCCCCAACAATCCCACCTACCCTACTCAACCCCTCTTGAAAAATGAGTTTTTGCTCAAAATTCAATCTCTCAACTTGCAAAGGATATAAGTCCTTTGCAATAATTTGTAAGGATGTGTTTTGTCATCTAAATCCTCCAATAGTGGATAAGACGAAGTCATCGTTTCCTCCACATTTTCCCTCACATTCATGTGTACCCATCTATCTTCAACATCACCCATACAACGTCTAGCTCAGTGTTGTGATGGTTATTTATCCATTGTATGAGCCCCGTTTTAAGGAAAAAAAATTACTAGGAGGCACGAAAGTTAACACGTAAGCATTTTGTAAGAAAAACCGAGGTTCCACCCTCTCTCCCTTATTATTCTGCATAAAATTGAAGTAAAGTGTTTGAGAATGAAGGGGCTTGATTGGATAAATGCTATACTGCTGGACGAGAAAATGGTGAAATCAAACGAGAACTGAGAAGTCCTGTCTTTGGTATGCAAATGGTGACTCAGGTCTGGCAAAGTTAAGCCATGAGACTATCCACATCGACTTCTTAGCCAGCTCCGATGCCCTAAAAGATGCGAGGATTCATTTTATTGAAATGAAGAGAGACGATGAAAACCTAAGTCAATTGAAATCAACAGTCGGTTTGAATAGTCGTTATGAGAATAATATTTAACTCATTACTTTATTATTTATCACTATATACACTTAACATCGGTTAAATATAAAATACGTTTTCATTCTTATATTTCCAACAGACTCAATCAATCTCCAAACAGACTCATCAAACTAGACAACCAAATTAAAACATGGACTTAAAACAGACTCATCAAACTGAATAACCAAATTAAAACATGCACATAAAATCAACGACATTTTTCACTCGAATTACAATACTAAATCCTCAGTTTAATTTCATTATACTTGGCAATGAAATATCTACCAACGGAGAAAGCTTGGATAAAATGTGGATATGATCATATTATAAAGGGAAGGAAGCTGAAGTTTGGCATACAAGGTCACTGGTATGAAAGAGAGTGCGATTATTGGTATGCGAATCCGGTCACTTTCATTAGAAAATACAATAAATAATGCAGAGCTGAAGGCAATCGTTAAAAATAGGAAAGAGAAGAACAACGAAATTAGACCGATTATCACTCTTTGGGGCAAGGCATGAAGATACTCACGAATTCCATAGCGGGAGATGAAAGTGGATAAGAAGGTTAGAACACTAGTGATAGAAGAGAAAAGTGCAAGAGCATCTGAAATGACGAAGACTCTGAAGGGACTTGTTTTGGAGAAATTGGGTACGCCACAGGTACCGTTTCCTCCAGGTACTTGGAATATGGCAGAAAATGCGACTGTGGCGACGAGTGTTGCTGCAACTGAGCTTGCAGAGGCCAATGCTGACATCCATTTTATTTCTTTGTCATCCATGTCAGCATGCTCTTTTCTGAAGAGGGCAAATGGTATCATTTCTTTTTTATTCTTCGAAGTAGATTCTCGAAGCGTCACAAGGTCGGTCACTTTCTGCATCAGTAAGATAAATTTGGTCAGAGTTCATTTTCATATTCAATGAGGCACATAAAGGAAAAACTGGTCAGTGATTTATAACCTGAAATGGTTCCCACCACAACATTCGAGTTATGAGTGCTACATTCTTTCAGGCCTTAGCTTAAACCTATGACCCAAAAGAATATTATTATTACCTTAAACCACTGAAATTCACTCTGCATTTTAAAAATAGCTTCGCAGCCAGTATCAAGTCTAGCTTCACGTGGTTTATATCCCACCAAATGCAATATATTGTCTTCATTGACATCAGGATTTAGATAGTACGTCGCATTCCGGTTCTTATTCTTCTCATGCGCCATCCTCAAAATGTTTTCACGACGGTACATTACTGCAACATGATATATTGAATGCTTATCTTCATTTACGTAAGTTATTGCCCTAGGAAGAGATTCTAGAATTTCACCGACAATCTCTTCTATTCCATACTGTGCCCCTAAAAGTAATGGCTCTCCAAGTTTCTCTTGGGCTTTCTCCATTTTTTTAATATTTGAGCATAAGGTTTTGACTAGTTGAAGTGCTTGATGATGCCTCAATTTTAGTCCAGGAATGTCCTCGTCTAGCACTGCATTTGCAACAAATCCCAATAACTACTTCATGACTAAATAATTTCTTCGGTTTCTTTGTTAAGTGACTGCTTATGAATATTCGTACCTAGAACTTTTGCAAGCTGATTCCAGATCGCCGTGTACACTGGAAACCAACCTTGTGAATGCTCTGTCCTCCCATTCTGATTCGCTGAAACATCTGCAATGCAAACAATTGATTAAAATCCATTGGAGTAGATATGATTAATTGATTACAAAGATAAAACTTGTTTCTTTTGTTTCCTGGGTTCTGAAACAACATTATATAATCATGCAAAAAAGGCTTTGAGTTGGGGTGGGTTGACCTTAGTTTGATTTTAGATACATGTTACAACCCTCATAAACATTGCTGATATATTTGGATTATAACTAGAAATGCTGAAAATTTGAGAATCAAATACCAGTATTGTGAATATATATGCCTGACGAATAGTACGCAAACAACAGACACATATTTGATAATGAATAATAGAGGAAAGGAAACGAAGAGATATACTTGAGTAGATTATGTGCTGCCAACCGGTAAAGGGATATCCACTTCTGAAACCACCCGGATCACTAGCCATCAGCTTCAAAGGACTGATATTCTCTTCTTCCCATGCCAATTTATTGTTGAATTCAAGTAAATCAAGAGCCAAATCTAAAATAACAGCAGAAAAAGATTAACGATTTTATCTAAGAAAAAAGTACGATTTTCAAGATTATTTTTCCGTATAAAGTGATACTTCACAACATCAAATCCACATGCATGTTGATATATTAGTTGATATAAAGAAGTTGGAAGTACTAGACTTGATCTCACCATAAAATCTTGCTTCTATTAAAGAACGCATAACCCTTGCACCAGCACCAGCACCTACTGCTTCATTGAGTAGGTTGGAACGACTTTCCTCTTTCATGCGTCGTAACAAGTAAGAAGTTATGATGTGAGAATTTCCTCGTTCTCGCCTCATAGCTAATTGAATTGGCAAAAGTCCATCATCGTTTGAATAATTCAGCAATTCGGGACATTTTTTCACTAGTATTTTGGCGTCTTCAACAACTCCAACATTTGCTGCTAGGTGAAGCGCTGTATTCCCAAAGTAGTCAGTCTCAGCCAATAAATCTGGTGTAATAATCTTTCCCACCAGTCTCTCGATTAACTCCTTTTTTCCTTCATTGAAGGCCGAGAGAAGCAGTGTATCTCCATTATCATTTAGCTTAGCTTTGAATGCTCTAATTGGATTTTCGCGGATCATTCCTTCGATAGTCTCCCACTTGCCTTTTTTTAATGCTTGGGACAGGTCTTCTCTCCAAGTATCAGAATAACACTCACCAACTGCATTATATCACGAATTGAAGGAAAATGTATGCTTATACATATCTTTTTATTCTCGAAAATCAATCAATAAAATATTAAAATAAAAAACCAATAATAATTTACTAGAGGCCATGTAATCAATAAAATAAAAACTAAAAAAGAAACTTGTGAATTCAGTGTTACTCACTTGTCAACGTGTGTTCATTCGTCTGCAGAGGCGACTGAAGAATACACATGTCTTCATCCGTTTTCATTGCCGACTGATCCATCTTCTTCACAATTGTGTTCACAGTGTTTATTATAGCTAGTAAATGCTATTATCTCAAACACCAACCCTCCTTTTATACATAAATTACACTTGCATTTGACTCTACTGTTTTATTGGTGGCAACTTTAAAAATTCTTAACAAAATTTGTTCGTGGAAACTTGAAGTTCCCATTAATTTGGAGCGGCCCCTTTTTCCTTTTCCCTTTATTCTTTATTCTTAATTTTTTGAATGATGATTATAGTAGTAAAAAACTAGATTTTAACAGTTAAATGTACTATTTTTATCAACTAAGAATGAGGCTAGCACATATTTTAATTTAATTCGTAAAAATTATGTTTTTAATTTACTCAAACTCCACTTTCGTCTCAGTTCGTTGAATTAACATAAAATTCGATGTGAATCATAATGTAATATTGTTTGCGACACACACAATTACGTTTACAATGCATGTTTGACCAGGCACTAAAAAAGAATGATGCTAATTTTAGGTTGTTAAGCACATGTTTATACTGTAATGGAGAACTATTTTACTTTACTAAAAAATAACAATCTCTTTATCACATTACTGTTTAAAAAATTACTAATCTTTTAACAAGTACTACGTTTTTCAAAATTAAAAATGAGTTAATCTAAAAGTAATCCATACTTTATTGACAAAATAAGTATTTTTTTTATTTCAAGAAAAAAATGTGTGTAAACACGTTTAAAGACAAAAGATTGCTTATTTGAAACAAAAGTTTAGATTCCATTCTTTTTGGAAAACGTGTTTATTCAAGTTGATAAAAACGATCGCTTCAACAAATATTTATAATTTGTGCTAAAATCTGAAACGACAATGATTAAGTGAGTGCTTTATGATGAAGTATATATCAACTATCAATTTATTTCCTTTGTTACTTTTTTTTTTATGACTTCGTCAACTATCAATTTATGATATAGGCTCATTTTCTATTCTAAAAGATATTAATCAAATAGAAGCATAGTAGTAAACATTTTCAACTTTAGTTTAATTTCTTTCTTAACCCCTTTTTAACTCTCATTTGTTTCCAACTATTGGTAAATCGGAGCGATTTTATCAAAATGGATAAATTCCATCAATTGCTATTAATCAACCAGCAAATGAAAATCCAAAAATTAAAAGGAAAAATAAATTTCAGTTTCGAAAAATTACCATCTATATTAAAGGAAATATTTCAACTGTTATCCAAACCTTTCAATCCTATTCATATTCTAGTCGCCTAACCTATAGCAGCTGATGGCAGTCATGTATTTGACAGCTAAAGTTGTCTCCATTTAGAAAGAATTTACAAATGGTTTAAATTATAAATGAATAGAAATTGATGACGCATAAATGAATAGTACTTGTAAATTCATTGAAATTTATGTTTGAAAGTAAAGTTTGATCACTTATAAAAGATTTATGAATTTTACTAAATAGGGGGTAAATAAAAAAATAGGAAATAAATAAAAAGGAATAAAGAATAAAAAGGGAGAAAGAAAAAGGAATGAAGAAGTTTGATAAGTGTAGATTTTAGGCAACACGTTTGGTATTTGAGTAATTTTTCCTTTTCTTGATTCTTTCTTCTTCATTCGTTTATTCTAACTACTTTTAAGTTCATGTGTTGCACGTTGTACTGGCATTAATGTGTAAATGGTACGTATTTATGCACCTTAGAACATCCAAACACGAATTATACTTAGCTCCTGTTTGATATCCATTATTTAGTCAAAATAAGTTTTGTAATAGTGAATTTTTGGAGAATTTGTAATTAAAAAGTAAGAAAATATTTCATTTTAGGTAAAAATATTTTTTTGTGAAAATGTGTGGTTGAGAATGAGTTTTGAAAATGTAATTAGCACAAAACTTCCCACCGTTTACACTCATTGCGCAAATTGGCCTTATCATTTCAAATTTGGTACTTATACCCTCATTTCAGAAATTTTCTTGCGAAGTTGGCCATTTCCATCTCATTTTGTCAATTCATTCCATCAACATGGATAATTGGTGCATAACATCCATATAGTTTGCTTTCATTGCGCAAAATATTTCTATCGTTTTCCTTCATTGCGCAAAAGGTCCTTGTAGTCTATTTTCTTCATTGGAATATCATAAATAAAATAATTCCTCTTAGGTGGGTTTGAATTAGAAGAATTAAGATTGGAGTTTTGATTAAGATCTTGAATGAATCCTCTGATGGAAGAAGAAATCTTAGAAATCATTTTGTGAGGCAAAAGAAATTTGAACAAAATTAGAGAAAAATTTAAAAGTTACAGTGTGTATATACAATCTACAATAAGAAGATAGTCACAAGAATTTGCTGAAAATAGTTAAATTCCTAACAAATCTCTTGTACTTTCGTTGAAAACAAAAAGTTTTAAAAAAACGAAACTTGATTATATGGAAATAGCTAAGTCCCTAGATGGTGCTACGTTGGGATGATAAGGAGAATGGGGGTGGTAGTGGTGACAGTGTGTGAAATTGGATAGGGAAGAACCATTTTGTTTTTTGTTTTGTTTTTGTTTTTTTTTTTTTTTATACTTTTAATTCTCTTATTAATTATTTTGGTGGTGGTGGTGGTAGATGGGGTTAAGTGAGAAGATGAAATATTTTTCTTTTGTTAGTATGTTTTAAATTGTTTTACGTGCAACTCGTTTGTATTTTTTATTTCTTATTTTTTAAAAATTAGAACTCTAGCACCATTTTTTTTACTCATTTTATATAAATTCTTTCTTTTCTATTTGTTTATTTAAAGAGAGGGATAAATTTGTGGTTTTACACTGCTTTGATAGAGAAAATAGATGTTAATGATCTTTTGTGTAATGAAGGCAAACGATATGGATATTTTGCTCCAATTATCCATATTTGACGGAAGGTGATGGTAGGAGACGGAAAAGACAAAATCCAAAAATAAAATGTTGAAATGAGGGAGTAATTATCAAATTTGAAACGCTAAGGACGAGTTCTAGCCCTAGCCCAACTGATGTGATCCAAGGAAGATAACAAATTTACATAGATCCAACTCAACTTGAAGAGGAACCAAAGAAAAGTTCAAGAGCTACGGAGGATCAAGTTGGCCACGGAATGAGTTGTCCGAGATGCGGAGGCAAAGAGATCAAGTGCAACAAGTCAACTTAAATATTGGACATGAAGGCGGGGTCAAGTTTGGTGCATCGAATTTAAGCTTTGGAAGATATATGAAAAAAAAGAGCAGCGTGGATGAAAACATGCATAACTTTTAGCTAGGGTGTAAGAAATATATGAAATATTTTAACTGTGACCCAAACCTTTGAATCCTATTTGTTATTCTGGTCGCCTAACCTATAGCAGCTGATGGAAATCATGTATTTAACAATTAAAGTTGACTCCATTTAGAAAGAACTTACAAATTATTTAAATTATAAATGGATAGAAATTGATAATGGATAAGTGAATAGTATTTGTAAATTCATTGAATTTATGGTTGAAAGTAAAGTTTGTCACTTATAAATGATTTATGAATTGTACTAAATGGAGGCTAAATGAAAGAATATGAAATAAATAAAAACAAATAAAGAATGAAAAGGGAGAAAGAAAAAGGGAATGAAAAAGGTTGATAAGGGTAGATTTTAGGCAACACGTTTGGTATTTGAATAGTTTTTTTCTTTTCTTTATTCTTTCTTCTTTCTTCTTCATTCTTTTATTCTAACTACTTTTAAGTTCATGTGTTGCACGTAGTATTGGCATTAATGTGTAAATGATACATATTTATGCACCTTAGAACATCTAAACACGAATTATACTTAGCTCCTGTTTGATATCCATTATTTCGTCAAATAAGTTTTATAATAGTGAATTTTTGGAGAATATGTAATTAAAAAGTAAGAAAAAAGTTAAGTTTACGTAATATATATATATATATATTTTTTTTTTCCTGAAAACATGTGGTTGAAAATGATTTTTGAAAAGGTAATCAGCACAAAAACTTCCCATTCTTTACACTCATTGCGAAAATCATCCCTATCATTTCAAATTTGACAATTGTACCCTCATTTCAACAATTTCCTTTCGAAGTTGGTCATTTCCGCCTCATTTCTTCAATTCATTGGGTCAGATACGAGTAATTGGTGCATAACTTCCATATTGTTTGCTTTCATTGCTCAAAGTCTCTCTATTGTGTACCTTTGTTGGGCAAAAGGTTCGTATAGTCTATTTTCTTCATTAAAATAATATAAAATAATTAATACCTCTAGTTGGGTTTGAATTAGAACAATTAAGGTTGGAGTTTTGATTAAGATCTTGAATGAATCCTCAGATTGAAGAAGAAAACTCATCCTCAGAAATCATTTTGTGAGGCAAAAGAAATTTAAGCATTAATATAGTGTGTATATATGTATGTACATGTAATCTACAATAAGAAGATAGATACAAGAATTTGCTGAAAATAGCTAAATCCCTAAAAATCTCTTTTACCTTAGTTGAAAACAAAATGATATTGAAAAACGAAACTTGATTACATAAAAATAGCTAAGTCCCTGGATGGTGCCACATTGGGATGATGAGGAGAATGGGTGGTGATGGTGATAGGGTGCGTAATTGGTGGCGGTGGTGGACGGTGGAGGATGGGGGTAGGGATAGATGAGGTTAATTGAGAAGATGTTAAAGAAAATGGCAAATTAGTGATTTTACAATGCTATAAAGGAGAAAATTGATAATAATGAGCTTTTGTGCAATGAAGACAAACGATATTGATATTTTGCACCAATTACCCATATTTGACAGAAGGTTAGGGAAGAAGATTGAAAAGACAAAATCTACAAGAAAATGTTGAAATGAGGGTCCAATTATCAAATTTGAAATGATAAGGACGGTTTGAGTTCTAGCCATATCCCAATGCCCAATTACTCAAATTTAGTTAAATTTTTCATAATTATTAAATATTATTTTCATGGCATTCATGTAAAGTAAATAGCTTGTAAAATTCTATATTTTACTTATAATTATATAAGCAAATTTTAACTGAATAATTTGTATTCATCAGAGCTAAAAACAA